GCAAGTATAACTCAAAAACTGTTCTACAATCGTTCGCCGATCAATTTCTATTTAGTTATGCCAGTCTAAGCGGCTTATGCCAGTTGTTTGTTTGAGTACAATCTCTGTCTTGTAAGCTTTTATTAAAACATAACAAAATTGTTTCAATAAATCGCTTTAGTTTTCATTCTGTTCCAAAACTACTTTTACACAGAAAATTAAATAGAATAACAAGAAAAAACAATAGTGCTATAAAACACTCCGCCAGGTGATGGACCAAACCATTTTTTTTCGAGAGAATGAGTCAGAAATAAAAACGTAATTTTTTAGTTTCACGTAGTTATTTTCAAAAGTCATTATTAAATATAGTGAGTAAGTTTCTAAACAAAATACAAATATGTATTATTCTTAATTCAATGATGTACATATGTACAAGATTTTTCGGTCAAGTTATATGAAAGCTGTTATAAAGTTTCAAAGTGGGGCCTGTATTTCGGAAATATAATTTTTTTAATTTTTGATGAATCCGATTTTGACTTCTTGTAACATCTGCCGTATTTTTTCCGAAAAATATTTTACACCAATCAAATGTGAATAAAAGATAGATCATGTCCATATTTTTAAAATTTTAGTTAGTTTACCTACTATAACTAATTTCGAAATTCAAAGTCAAATATTTCGACTTTGAAGACCAATTTTTAAATATTAAAGAATTAGTTTCTACTTAGTACTTAATTTTACGAAAAACATGGTTAGAAGCAAACTTGCAAAAAAATTAATTTTGCCGTCTAGCGAAATTATTATTATTTTATGAAAATTCCATATTAAAAAATAAATAAAAATTATTTCTAGCTATTTTAAAAATCTTCAGTTCTTGAAAAAAAGTTGTAAATAAATCGAATAATCATTTTATTTCAGTTTTTCCAGGTGAGCAACATATTCGATTATTAGGTCGAATTTAGTACTTTTCTTTTCGCTAAAAAGAATACCATGTTTTTGTACCCCAAATATATATTTATTTTCTTGATAATAGTTTGTTTAGACCTTTTAGTTTCTATCAAAAAATACAAAAATTTCCTGTAATTGTTTATTCATTTCAAAATTCTTGATTTTACAATATTTGAGAAACTTTCATTATAGCCGCTTAATTAAAAGAGAAATAAAGTTTTTAAAATTTGTTATTGAAAAAAATTATTTAAAATCTTTTATTGTTAATACTTTTCTGGGATCATGTACGGGTATGGTTTTAAATATTGTAGCACCAAAACTTTTTTTTAATTTTTTCAATATTTTATTTTTGATTTCGTTCCGATCCTAACATATTTTTAGACAAAAAGTCTTCACTAATACTTTAAAAAATCTGCCGAAAATATTTACGATTATTTACTAGCAATTGTACCCTATTCATAACTTTATTTCAGTTATCCTTGTATTGCCATTTGCTTGAAATTATTTCAAATTCTACTCTCTTCTATATACAACTCTATACTCTCAAAATACAAGTATATAAATCTTGATGCCATGCTCAACCATTATTATAATTATATTTACATTAATCAACAACATTAATACTAGTTAGTTTCTCCATATATATCATAATTAATATATTCTGTATACTTTAGTAAAATATGAAAAAATGTGACCAACCTTTTAGATATTGAATTTCCAGCGCTGGCTGCTAGTGATCAGTTAATAATGCTGAGCGTGAAGATATTACAAACCAACGAAGTTACCATTACTGAATGTATTAGAAATTATAATAAAAACCAGTATTGATTATTATTGACATTTTGTGGCAAGCAAATGTGCTAACCAGCTGTTTACGCATTCACTTGTATTTGTTTTGTATTTTCTTTACAATTTAATTTATCTGCATTACTTTTAATTTAATGCCAATTAATCACTTGTAGACATTAGCAGCACTTCATAGGAGTGATTTATTTATTGGTAATTTAGCATTTAGTTACTATTAGTTGAACACTGCATTCACTTTGCTGCTCTATGCACATTTGTATTTATTTTCGTAATTTATAACTGTGATTTAGTTCAGTTACTGAGTGATTGCTTGCACTAATTATTTGTTTATTAGTCATTTAATTTAGTTCGTCGGTTTATTATTGTACTTTTCTTTGACTTTTTGTTATCGTAGTTGATTTTTATTAGCACTATTTTAATTTTCAGTTAGGAGAAATCAATTAAACAGCTTTTCATTTTATTTAATAATTTTTTTTATGCTTTATTATTTTATTTATATTTTTTTTATCCACTTAAAAGTGCAATTACATGCTTAATTATACACATATGCCATAGCTTAAGACACTTTACTACGCAATGACATTAACGGTGTTTTTATTGGCAAACCAGTTTATTGTGGCAAATAAGTTTTTATGCCACCACTTTTAGTTTAGTTCATTAAATTAATTTCATTATGATAGTAGTGCAGTGAAACAAATGTTCGTTATTATTTTTTGAGGTTAGAAACAAAATTTCTTTATAAGATATTTTATTATGTATTCATTAATTTGTTTGTTTTGTTTTTTTTTTTATGTATTTATTATTAATTCTTTAATTTATCTTGGAATGTAAGATTTTTTAAACCTATTTTTCACGTATTTATTTTTATTTTGGCATATACGATTTTTTATAACATATGTGTTAATAAAGTTTGTGAATTTATATTCTCAATACTTTTAATGTTTTTTGTTCATATAAAAATGTTTATTTTAAAAATGTTCGCACAGCATTTTTTCAAACTTTATATAGTGTGATGGTATTATTTAATGTTTTTAAATGAATTTTCTAGGCAAGCATTCATGAATTTCCACTAAGACATTTTTATATAGTAATTATTTTATTATTATGGCCCTGTATTGCTTTAAAATGTTTTTAAATTTTTTTCAGTATTTTTTCAATTAAGAAATTTTATTTATTAAGTTCTTAATTTTATTAACATTTTGTTTTATATTGTAAAATTTTCTATTACTGCTCACGTTTGATTTAAAAAATCTTAAATTGTTTTTAATAATTATTAGTAGATTTTATAGGTCCGTATGTTTTCTTACTGCAGTGTAATTTAATAAATATTTTTGTTCAATTTAATTATGAATATATTTTTACTAAAAGTATAATATCTCAGTATTCAAATTAGTTTAATTTTTCAAGTTATTTTTAATTTTTTAAATTATTTTGTATTTCTTAAGGGGTTTTGACTTTATTTTTCATCAATTGCGTATTAGGCATATTAATGTTAAGTTATCAAATCACAGGTAAAACGGCTTACACGCAATTTTTATTCGAATTTTTCTCACACAGTTTCATTAAATAAAAGTTTTTTTAGCTTGCAAATTTGTATAAAAATTTGTGTGAAGCCAAATTTAATTTTTTGCACAAATGAATTTTTTTTAAATAAATATTTACGGCTTTAAGCAATTTTTTTGTTAGTTTGTTTAACTTTATAAGTGTTTTTAATTAATTTAATAATTTGCTTGTGTAACTTTTACAATATTTTTCAATTTTTCATATGGTACATGTCGAATAGTAATTTTTTAATTGTTATTTGATAATATTTGCACAATATACTTAGTTAATATACTGCTACTGTTTATTTTATTTCTTTAAAATTAATAATAATTAGAGTAATAATCTTATTAATTTTAAGTTTTTTTTTAAATTATTATTATTCTTTTATTAAATTTTTTTATTACTTTTTTATTTACACCCTCCATTAAAGTTTTTATTGCTAATTATATTTTTCCAATACATTTCTCTTGCACACAAAAATAAAAAATCTTTCAACCACATTTTTTGGCCAACAAGCGGCTGGGAAAGACATTAGCGCTTGGGTATTATTTAATTTTATTTTTTCAATCATACAGCCATTAATTTTTAAGGCATTTGCATACATTTTTACACTTAATTAACCAATTGGAGGGTAAACAACCGAGAAACAAGCGCAAAAACGGAACATTTCAAACAAAGACGCGCATCTCGAAAATTACTGAAACAAAAATTAGCACGAAATGTATTGCGCATCTCTTGTATTTAGTTGCCTTACTATTTCGTTTTTATATTTCTATAGCCCAAACTGAACTACCGTGTGCCCTTAATATTTTTTTCTATCTTATATCTATTTTGTTTTTCTCTTTTTGCTTCACAAAAACTCATTTCTAATTTAACGCTCTTCCTGCGCTGGTCTACGCCTACAATTTGCTCCGCTTTACTTCCTTGAATTCATTTCAAAGATATAACATACATAACTACGACTCCACTGCAATACCAGCTCAAAGAAATGAAAAAACTCGAGCGTTAAAAAGTAGCAGCAGCAAAATCTGGCAAGCAGGATTCGAAACCCTAACGACCAGTAAAAAAAAACCGAAAACAAAAACCAAAATGTAATCCAAATTATGACTCTACCACAAACATATGCAACAAACACATGCACAACGGTTGCTTTGTCAGTCAGTCGTTTGGTCAATTTGTCTGTCTGTTTACGAGTATCTACCGCCCGCTCAAGTGTTTGGCTGTTATTCCCAACACACACACTTAAATATATTCTTCCTTAATTCTCTGTCTGCTTGCGCTTGTAAATATAGCTGTATGTTTAAAGAGCCAGCCTGCCCTAGATGTCTATATGTATTTACATTACATCTTCTGCTTAACTAGCCGCAACGTTCGCTTCCTACTTGGGGTTGTTTTCTAATTTTCCATACAACCTTGCACATAACCGTTGAAAATATTTTGTTCCTAAATAAATTTTCATACTTTGCTGTCAAACGCCAGGCGAAGATGGCGCAGACGACGCAGAAGAGATGCGCGCACACACACCTACATTGTATTTGTTTATATACAAACACTTGCAAACAAACGCGCTTTGTTACGTGTCGATATGTCAGGTCGCGCCGCGTTGGTTAACTGTATGGTTGTCGAACGCGTTGTCGGCTGGACGCAACGCCAACGCCGTCGATGCTGCTGTCGCATCCGCAAGGAATTAAACGAATTTGTTTCTTCTAATAAATACCAACCGAGTTGTAAGCAGAAACGCGCTGTTGCTGCTGCTACGTTGCGCGTCACAGGTTGCGACCGTTGCAGACGATGAAGTGCGCTGCTGCACGAATTTTGCAAATTTTTTATTAACGCCTGCACACCTTACTACAATTTTAGTTAGAACTTTAAATTTTGCTTTTTCAATAAAATTTGTGTAGCAAACAAATATTTGTGTTAGCACACTAGTACACTATAGAACGCTTACAAATTCACTTCAACTTTGCAGTTGTACTTCTTGCACCAAATCACTGTGCTATTTGTTAGAGAATAATTTTTAGTAACGCGTCCAATTCGTACGCTGACAAACGCGACGTATTTTATCCGTACACTATAACCGCACTGGGACAGTATCTGCGACAAACTGATTGGCCTACCCAGTTGCTAGCTGCATGCGAGAAAGCGAGAGAGCGCGCAGGCAAACTACAAGAATCGTCAACGAAGTTGGTGTTCAAGTTGTCGAGGAAGTGCGATTGCACGAGCACGAAGCCTAATGTTACAATGGGCGGCCGACGGAAATGCAACGCACAGTAAACAAACACACACACGCATACAAGCGCGCGCAGCAAACGCGTGAGAGCAATTGGAGTGGCAGCAGATAAAGCGAATGCACAACTCCATTGCTGAGCGAAGTGGCGGCAACTTCCGCTCTGACATCTACATAGTCACATGTAAATATGCACGTACATATTTATGCGCGGCTAATCTCAGCAAGTGGACCAAGCACAACGCTGGAGTGGCCGTATAATCTCGGTTCAACTGTCAATACCACTGATGAACTTGCTTGTGGAACGTATTCAGGCTTATCTGCAAGAAATAAAATACGAAAACAAAAATATAAATAAATAATAAATATCTTAACACTCTCTTCCTCTCTCTGTCTCTCGCGGAAATGAATGTTTTGATTTTGCCAGAGCAGCAGGCAGAACTGCTCGAACTGCTAGAAATTCCAGTTTTGGGCTATTTGTTTTTGTTCTGTTCGTTGGCGTCTCGCAGCTGATTTCCAAAGCAACAAACAACGAAGAAAAAAGGAGCAAAAGATATAATAGTTTGCGAATGTAAACAAATAACGATGATATAGTACACACACAAGAAGGAATGGTCGCTAGATTATGTATGTATGTTTGTATAAGCGTATGGCTTAAAATTGCATATAATCACTGCTAATTGAGAGCTAAAGCGTTGTTGTTATTACCGATGAGTCAATTTAAATATGGAAATTTCAACTCGACAATAAAAATCTTGTTATTACTTGAGGTGAGCGCTATAAAAAGTGATAAAAACGTTAAGGTTAAAGTGGTAATTAAATAGAAAATAGAGAAAATCCGGTGAACCATGTAGTAGTGGAGTAAGAGAAAACATCGTCGGATGATATAATATAATTAGCATTTTGAGAGTCGATAGTTGAAGCGGGATTATCTGACCGAATTCGACTGGTTTTACCAGAGCTCAAGCTGCTGTTAGTTAGTTCTAATTTATAAAAATAATATACCAAAGCGCACTATGTTCGGCAGCTTATAAAAAGTCGAAAACACCTTGGAAACATTTCGTTAGAAGTAGAGAAGAGAGTAACGGAGATGAGGCACCTACCTATTGGAAGGAAACTTTAGAAACATTTTCATTATAAACATAATATTTTCAAAGAATATTGCAAGTGAAAACTGATAGATCAAAGCAATATTTGTGGATCTTCAGATTTGTTAAATAACTTCAAGAGTCAAATGACAGTTTGGACCACAGAATCTGACACAAAATGGTATAATATTAGTCCGCTAGATCTATTTGTCAGGCGCATACAATTCAAACTAAAATACAGCACAGAGGTAGAAGTTTAAGCCTATAGAACCTATGAGTTAACGTAGGCGAAAATGCCAGTGAGTTGGTGGGCAAAGATTGTCTGCAATAAATAGCAATAGACTTATTTAAAAATGACAATAACATTATAAAGTCGTATTTATGTCTTTGATTATTTGATTATTTTCTAAAAATAGTAACATGAATAGGAATATAGTCTCCTATGACATTTTAATCTATAAGTCAAGTATCGATTTTTATTCGACCATACAAAACAGTGAACAATTCATATAGAATTTGAGGGCTTTTGACTTCTGGCACCACCAATATTGTCATTAGAAACATAATAAATTATCTGTGTTTGATTTTTCTTTTTCTTTTCTTTTGCAGATACAATTACTTATTCTCGAAAAGAACAAAAACAGGAGACGGTATTATAAGATGGGTATTACCCTCGCTAATTTCTTGACAACTTATTTATAAAGTGCAAATATGGCTATCGTCGATATGTTATAGATTAAAAATGTGTCTATATTTTGGGGGACGGTGCCACATATTCTGAGCCTACCAAGAATGCGACGGACAATGCAGGGTCAATCCAACATATAGTATTTTCCTAAATTTTTTATTTCGATTCTCACACAGTTATGAGTCATAACTTATAACCCAGTTCAGTTTCATAGTGTAAAAATGTACATACATAAGTATGCATGTACATATTTGCTTTAGATTTTTATTACTTTAGCTATTATTCTACATGAATTTTTTTCTCACAAACAGCATAGCATTATATCAATATCCGAGTTTATTATAATGCACTTCCTTTCAATTTTATGACCATCCGACGTAAATGTTGCAATTAGCACTTCGTATTGCCGGCTTTCTTATCAACAATACTCAAAATTACTCAGACCTACCTGTATCTCAGCGAAAATGCCAAACAAACATACCATCTACACGAGTGCTTGCATTGGAAAGCGAAATGCAACACTGACTAGCGCTCGCCGCTCTCAAAGATTTTACTCTCATATGCATAGTCCCTGACCCTCTCGCTCTCTCTCTCTTATTATAAATACAGTGCTCATTTATCTAATTGGTTTTGTGGAATCTAAGGAAATACCATCCACATTGCACCGCGCACCTTATTAGGCAGAACCAGAGCCTGTGTTAGAGCCACAGCCAAGCTGCTGTTGGTGTTGCTGCTGTCGCTTGGTAAGTCGAGGTTTCCTGCATTTGGCGCGTGCCTCTAATTGCAACGTTCCGCAATTCTTTAGTCGCCTAGTTTATGTGGCAAATACTTTATATGGTCGCTAGCACATACATCCATATGTATATATGAATTGTTGGTTGTGCTGCTGTATTGTAGGATGTGTTGTTGTTCTGTTGTATGTCTGTTTTTGTGTGGCACTCATGTGCTTGGCAGGTTGATATTGCTCTGGTCTATTCGGCCTCTTGCCATTTTCGGCAATCACTCGACCCGTTTTAGTGCAACTGTGCTGCTAAGCTAGCGGCCTAGGCGTGCTTGTGAGTATCCATATACGTATGTGTGTGTGTAAGCGTATGTTGCATGGTTTATGTATAGTTGAAGAAGTTTCTATGGTAAGCTTGCGGCAACAGTCATTGCACTCGAATGCGATTTTTTTGCCTTATATATTGTTGTTGTTATTATACCCTGAACAGGGTATATTAAGTTTGCCACAAAGTTTGCAACATCCAGAAGAAAACTTCGCAGACTCTCTAAAATATATATATATATTTATACATATATATACAGACTACCGTGACGAGCGGAGTCGATTGTCAAGTCTGTCCGTCTGCCTGTTTATACGCCCTCAGTTTTTGAGATAGGGACCTGAAATTTTGCAAACGTCTTTTTCTCTTTAAGAAGCTGCTTTGTAGTACCGCCGATATCGGACTACTATAGCATATAGCTGACATACAAACTGACCGAAGAGAAATAAATTTTTGCATGGAAACTATTTTATCCGTGAAAGGTATGAAAGCATTGTTGCAACCGAAGTTTATGTGTTTTCTTGTTGTTATTATTCCATGTGTTGTTGTTGTTGTTGCTGTTACTGTTTGCTCTCTAAGTGACCTATCATCTGAACCTCAAGTGCGTTCGACAGACTTTTAGGGAAATGCTGCATTGCATATAAGGCTTGTGTGTATATGTGTGTGTTGCCGACCTCTTTGTGGCGCCACCAAAGGTTAGTTAGGTATTCGTAACTCTTCGCTTGAACTTAGCTGAAATGAAGCAGCAAATTGAATTTCAGCAGCGATTGAACTGACTCAATAGTTCATTTGCATTTACGAAATGGGTCATAAGAGACGAAGCGAAGACGTTAAATGGCAAGCACATACACACAGGTGTATTTTACAATGTCGGTGTGTTGGTGTTGGCAATAACAAATAAATATGTAGAAGTACAGCGCTCGTACGTTCATTGCACCTGAGGGCTTTCATCTTAATTAGCCGCAAGCCTGAACTGTCTGCTAACATGAATGTACGTATATATGCGTGTGTTTTTCTGTCAATGTGTGCTTTTGTGTGCTACTAATACCAATCACATTTAGCAGAAATTAGCATTTTGTTAATAATTCAGGAAAATCAAATATTTGCCAATGTGACAGCAACAGCTTGTAAGACTTTATATACACATAAAATTATATAATATATATAAATATATACTCCTACTTGTATACATATGTATATGTTAAATGCTAAAGATCGAAACGCAACACTTCTAAGCCATCAACGACTACCTTAACGGACTTGCGGTGCTAGCACAAACTAACACCAACACACACACCCACACATGGTAATGTACATAGTGGACACACACACAGCGGAACACTCGTTAAAGTTGAAATGACTACAACATAGACTCCAATCAGTTCGCAAAGTAGCCGAGCCAATCACTCTGCCCCCACTCAATTGGTATGACGCAAACACACACACACACACACGACCGGAAAATCATAACAAACTCATAAACAACAACAAAAACTAATGGAGCAAGCATAATATTGAGTTGCCGGTTTTGTTGGCGAACGTGCATGCCCGTATAACGGTATGTACTAAAGTTTGAGTATTGGTTTTTGCGCTTTATGGCTCGTACGCCTAAAAGGCGGCAGCAATTTTCTTGTCCACTACTCGCAAAGTAACGGTAAACTTACATATGTATGTGGATGTGTGTTTTCGCAAGCAGCAACAAGAATTTATGCACATTTTATGTATGATTTGCGTGGGTTACAGGTCATTGATAAAACACACACAAACATAAATCAAAATGGCGCGCTACGTCGCTATGAAACGGCGTACGCAATTCAATAGGCATTCAGTTGATATCTTCTTAAAGCAAAAGCGAGTGGCGGAATGCACCGTTATGTTCGTAAAGCGGCGGTGAGAGCAACTAATCGAAGTTGTTTCATGGCTTTATTCATATGTATGGATTCGGTTATGTGTATGCGTGTGCGTGTGCAGGGTGAATGTATGCGAAAATTAATATGCAATGATAATTTTATATGCAGCACACTGCGCAGTCGACATTAATTTCGCAATTACTCAATTCC